ATAATGCATAATTTCATTTGATAAACACGTTTAGATTGAATAGTAATTTATAATCAGTCACAAGAACGTCGAATCTGAATCACTTGAAAAAACGACGGGGGTGCTTAACTTTTTTCCAGGTGTATATTTGATGCTAGCTCCTGTAAATCCTAAAACGAAAAGTAAAAGGTCTTTGTATTTCATGCATGTTTCTGTGAAAAGAAACAAAAAATGAACTATCGTCTTTCTCTCTGGGGTATCTTGGAGTCGCGAGGTTTTTATTAAATTTAAATACAAATACTATGAAGAATATACAACCTTTGAAAAGTTCGCCATGGAAGAAATGGCCGAGCTGCGTAACTTATCTTTTTTCGATATTGATACATTCTGGAGTACTCTTACAATCGGTCATTCAGCTGAGAAGTTTGAATTAAAGCCGATAAAAGCCAATAACTCTTATATCTAAGCCTTTTACAAAATTAGGTTGGTGATAAACTGTGGACGTTATCCTATAACCATCAAATAAAGCCGTTATTCCTAAACTATTCACAAACTTTGGTTGATGATCAACTGGGGGCACTGATGGGCTTCAGTTTATTTAAAGTAACGTCTACATCGATAGAGGAGGCATATAAAATATTTTTGTGGGAAGTATTAAATGTATACAACTTTCAATACATGAAGCGTACATATATATGATGGAAAACGGTGAACATGCCAAGCACGATGTGCTATTTAATGATACACACATCGGTTTCTACGTAACTTAGAAGTCACAATGGTCTGGTGAACATTCCCGACATGATGTACTAATTAATGCGCACCGATTGATTTCTAGCTAACTTAGAAAACATATGTGTGCCTACACGATCAGATATTCTGTACGTCGTTCTGCATTACACAGTTCTATGTACAAAATACACCACTAAAATAATCACAGTTGCTTATCAGTCGTTCTTCACTGTATGACTTGAACAATGTTGTTATTATCAGAGGAATCAGAACAAAGAAATATAACACTTTTTATTCTATCCGCAAAAACTGTAAAACCTAACGTAACACCCATATACCAATGGAATACAGTACTGTATCCTATCCAGGTATAGGTTCTACATTAGTGTTCGATATTGTTTATATGGGTGTTACGTTAGTGATGGGATACAGTACTAACGCTAATGTAGAACCTATACCTGGATAGGATACAACAATATCGCCAACGTAACACCCATATAATGATGGGATACAACACTGATGTGGGATCCAGCTACAGAATCTTCAAGAGATTATATCAGTTAATTATCAGATTTCTTACAAATTGCAATTTTCTATCGTTCAACTCAGCTACGGTAGTCTTTAATTCTGGATTAAATTTTGCTAAGCCTGTTTATGACATTAAAGACCATAAGAAAGTATAAAAACGTAGTGACATATTTATGTTATTCTAAGGCTTTTTTTTTGTTCTCTGATTTATCTACTTCTCCAAAATAAAAACGAATTTTTAATTAATGAAAGTAATTAACAAATTAATCCACAACTCTACAGTTTTATCTCATCTCTAAAACTAGTCAAAGCAGAATAATGTTTTCGATGAATCAAAATTTAAGTTCATAAACTTTGTCACTCTTATAACGATTGCTAAAAATATTTAATTTTCTAAAAACTATATATTTAATTTACCAAATTGTTGTCTCGTTAAGAATGGACAGACTACAAGCTCAGGTGGTGTTCTCAACAATCATGTTTTATGTTGTCTCGTTAGGAATGGACAGAATACAAGCTCAGGTGGTGTTATCAACAATCATGTTTTATGTTGTCTCGTTAGGAATGGACAGACTACAAGCTCAGGTGGTGTTATCAACAATCGTGTTTTATGTTGTCTCGTTTGGAATGGACAGATTACAAGCTCAGGTGGTATCATCAACAATCATGTTTTATGTTGTCTCGTTAGGAATGGACAGATTACAAGCTCAGGTAGTATCATCAACAATCATGTTTTATGTTGTCTCGTTAGGAATGGACAGATTACAAGCTCAGGTGGTATTATCAACAATCATGTTTTATGTTGTCTCGTTAGGAATGGACAGACTACAAGCTCAGGTGGTATCATCAACAATCATGTTTTATGTTGTCTCGTTAGGAATGGAC